TCTTATTTACGAATTACTCTATTCAATCTTTATTAAACATGTCGCATAAAGGTTTTGGCCTTTATTAGGCCATCCTCAGTACTGAGGATATTTAATAAAGATTGAACAAAATAATCCGCGAATAAGATCTTGCGTGGGTTTTTATGCTCCTTTTTGTTTATTATTATAAATTATAATTTATAAAATCGCACGCGTTAGATTGTTCTTATTTGTTTAAAAGTAATTTGTCCGTTACATTGTAACACAAAAACAATTTAAACAAGGCAGCAGAAGTAATTTTATACAATGCATAATAAACAGAGAATAATATTTCTTGTAAGTGCTAATATATAAATCAAAAGAGAATAAATTAAAAACAAACATTGCACTTAGTAGAAGGGATCGCATATCACACGTGTCACACGTAATTGCGAAAGTTGCGAGGTCTCCAATAACCAGCGAATCGAATTATCTAGCTCCGCGGTATAACATTACAATTAGTCAATTTCCATTGAGAAATAATTGTGTGGTAATGATGGAAAATGTAGTTTGCGCGATTAGTAACGTCGTGTTTCGCAGAGCATTCGGCATTGATCTGTTGGACATGTTGTCGCGATGTTTGAAGTACGAAGAGTACGATATCGTGAATTAATGCAAATACTACGTAAATTATTACCGGTGCACTCTCCGACGCTACGTTGATGCATAACGTAACGTTGATTTATATGCTCGTGGGAATTTTGATGGCGTTTTTGAAAAATACCTGAGAGAAATATATCATCGTTATCTAAGTTCGATCTTGGATATCATTCAATCCTCAATTATTATGATTAAATCATAAATATTAATGACGTTTGGGACTTTAGACGAGAGAAAAAAAGCAGACATATCCTTTCCAGAAAAAAAAATTGAAACGCAAATATCAAGCGTGATCGAGACTTCGTACCATCAAAATGCTTGTTAAACTTTAAAGTTACGTATCTTCAACAAAGTTTTGAATTATTTCGACTTGTTAAATCTTATTTAACTTTCGACTACAGCAACGGAAATTTAGACAAAGTGAAAATTTTAGATAGTTTGGTACAATAATACATATACAATATTAATCATGAGGTTCTAAATTGTAGGTAAAAAACTTTGAATTTTCCTTTATCAAGCAAGATCGAAGTTTATTTGAATTCTATACTTCAAACATAGGATGCTTTAGATTTTAGAACTTAGGTGTAGTTTTTATAGTTGAATGTAAAAAGAACGTTTCTACTGAAGTATTTAAAAATTTAGCTGAATACAGATCTAAATATAATTTTGTTTGGATCATCAAAATAATTATGTAGCACGTTTAAACTAATTACTGTGAAATGTTAAAATGTTGCAATATTATTATTAACGTTTTAGCGTTCTGCATAATTATTTTGATGGATCAACAAAATTATTTTCAGATCTGCACCGAGCTAAATTTTTATATACTTTAACAAAACCATTCTTTCTGGTGTAGTTAAGGTTAAAAGGATCAATTATATTCTGTCAAAATTAATTATTTGGAGAAAAAAAGAATAATAATAGTAACAAACTACGAAACCATCATTTAATTCTGCAGCGAAAATCGATCGCTCATCGTAGGATGTTCTTCATTTGGATCTGGATCATCATTGCGTGGTTCTACGCAATCCTGTGTGTCTTTTATGTCAAGCGAGCAAGCTAAATAACGAATGAGGATGCTGGTTGCTCGGGACCGGAATTACGTGTGCGCAGTAAATACCGAAAGTCCCCTCGCGGGAAATCGGTCGAGATGGTCGTCCCGGACGTGTAACGTCATTACATTCGTAATTCCTGAGGCCGCGCGCACCGCTTTCAGCAAAAGTGGTAGACGATGGATTTAGCGAATGACGAAACGAGCGATGCAATTTGTTTATCTTCGTTTATCCAATAAAATTCGCAGCGCGTACAATCCGTTGGGCGAACCAATGATAGAGCATTACTCGATACCATGAGCCAATAAAATATATACATATATGCACGTATGAATAAAATGCAACACCCAAAAAAAAATAATTTTAATATTAGCAGAAACCGCTAAATCTTAAAGGATTTTATTCTTATGTACGGCCTCAAGAGGAATCTTCTGAAATAAAGAGGAAAATATGCTAAGCACAATATTCTTACAGTTAGAGTACTTTCATTTTGCATCTGCAGTAAAAATCTTGCTGTTTCTAATATAATTTACTCGTAAGAGGACACTCCGCTTTCAGTAAATATATTCCTCTTCATACAAGAGAAAAATTGTTAGAATAATCTCCAATACATTTTTGATGAAGTCCAGTGCATTAGAAGAGGAATACTCTTTCTATAAAAGTTTCTGCTTAGAATATGAGGTTACCGGAAATTTCACTTTACAATTAGATTATCTTGTTTTGGGTGAAGAAATAAAATTCGAAGCAATTCTATTATTTTTGGAAGACATTCCATAATTCGCGGGTCTTTTTTCCATTATGCAACAAAGTCATGATCGACGAAATCTAAATTGAAAAGAACTGACAATTAAGGTAAACGTCTCAGAGTGACCAACTGGGCAAGTACCTATATCTGGATACTTATACAAAATTTATTAATATAATTATTATATTTATACATAATTTAATTATTATTATTAATCTCTCCTCAAATCCTTTTTATATTAGAATATTATTATTTAATTGTACTTGAGATTGCAATTAAATTATAATATTATATTTGAAGAAGCATTTAAAATTATTAATAATATAAACAAAAATAAAGCTTTGTGTAAATGTCTGGACATAGGAACATGTCCGGTCACTTCTCTAAGACGTTTATCTACTCTTATCGGAACAAAACGATCATTTAAGAACCGAAAAAATAAATCGTCGATATTCTCCCGTTTCCAATGATAATTGCATAACAAGTTATCTTTTTCTCATGTTCTCTCGGATAATGGTCCATTTATTCCCATTCTAATTTGTCGCGTGCTACTTTCGCATTAGATAAAATTTGCGTCTTAGCCAGAGTAGCTGCAGTTCGTGTCTGTATATGAATACATATATATATATATATACACATACGCACCTATGTATATCGGGCTTGTGCTATTTTCCTGTGAGAAGTAGATCGGTTATTGGGAAACTTCGCGACAGTTTATGCGCGCTGCAACTGCGGCGGAGCCGTCCACCTTGAGAGGTAACAGCTTTGCAACGACCCTCCCAGCCATCGTTGGAGATATACGTAAGTTTGCCGTTGTCTTTCTCTTTTTAACGCGGGACACGGGCTATCGAAGCAACAAAATTACTGCGGCGACAATATATATATCGTGCAGTATTGTCGCCACAGTAATATATATAACAAAGTTTTATATATATACATATATACACCCTCTAAACTTTTAAAGTGAATTGTCACTCTGAAGAGGAAATCTCTCATTCTTAAAGATTAAAAATTGAGTCACTCTTTTTCAAGACTAATTAAATTTCATTCTTTAGAGTGAGATTCCACTTCAAAGAATTTAAAGAGTATATATGTATATGGAGAATTTAAAGAGTATATATTAAAGAGTATAACCTGTACGGTTCGTTGAGAAATTAGAGAAACTAGAGAACACTGCCAACTAGTTCGCGTAAACGACGTAACATATCTTTTCGTGTACCATGCACATTTACTTTTTATATCTCAACTTCATCGTTTACAAAACTTTATCGTGTTTCTTAATGGGTGCCGTCCTTGTTTTAATAGAATGAGGAAGCTGTTTTATCTTATTAAGGCAAATTTGAAACAAGCAGGACGATGCTCCTTCGTTGTTTATATAGCGTGAAATTGTTTTTAACTGCGTGGAATTATTTGCGAAAATTATAACTTTGTTAACGTAAAAGTTAAGCTTTCCTCACGAGTTTCTATCAGCTGGCACGTACGGGTCTTTTATTCTCGCCGTTCCAAAAGCCAGCGCATCATTGTAATTAATAATTAGGAGCAACGCACGCTGTTAAATGCCTGCCTCATTACTCGTTTTTAGTTACCTCTCTCCTCATATTAGTTTTCCCGGTTTCCTTTATTCATTTGTGTAGAATTCTGGCAAGCAATTGGAGGAAATAAAACAGCTAACTGTTACAATAAAGATATGAAGAGTTAAATTCCACTAATACGGTTTCAATTTCGTATTCTAACCTTGCTATTCAGGTCTATTTGATTCAAAATATAATTCATTTTCTTTTAATTAATATTTTTAAATAGAAATAGTTTTATGACCTTATAAGAAATTTACTTATATTTTATTTATATACAATTTATTCATATTTACTTCATTAATATTTTATTAAAAAAAATTTTTTTTCTCTTGTATTTGATGACTTCATCTATTGTAAAAATAATATCTTTTTTCTGTAAAAATTTATTTTTAATTTTTTAAAACTTTTTAATCCTTCGGGGTCACCTGGGATTCAGGGAATCCCAAAAAGGTGTGAGGCTTTATATTTCTAAGGTCTTTTTTTTAAACGGGACTTAAACTGCCATTTATCCAAAGTTTAAAATACCCTTTTTGCACCAAAGGCTTTATATTTCTAAGGTCTTTTTTTTAAACGGGACCTTCAACCACATATTGCACCTTCAACCACATATTGTTCTTTAGACGTCAGCCTTTACGATTTTTTTAAATATGTTAAAATTAAAAACTTTAAAAAGCCACTGCATTTTTATACTATACAATGTTTAAAGTAATTTCAGTAATTTTTGTGGTTTTAAAAAACAAAAGTTGCAAAATATGGCGATTAATTAAAATGTTGGGGCCATTTTGCCCTCTGTGTGACCAACATAGAATTCTCAGGAGATGTGATCACGAAGAGTTAATTGCATGGATCAAACGGTATGATCATATAGTTTTGAACAAATTAGCAAAGTTAAAACATGTTGAAAAGTATAATACTGAATTGATATTCAATGAATTCCAATGTAAAATTTTAAATTAAATTTTATCGCTGTCATAGAATTATAACAATTATATTGTTATCATTATTATTTACCTGTAATTTCTGCTTGGAGTCGGCTGGATGAAGTGGCTCGGGACCGGTTTTGGGCTGATCACCCTGCAGACTTTCGATGTTCTTTGTACGTATCAGCTTGCCGAAGAGCTCGAGGCCCTTCTCCCGGTCCAAGTCGAGCTTCATTTTTCTGCAAATTAAGGACGATCGAATTATTCACCCATAGAGGCATAGACTCGGAAGAAAAAGAGAGCACCTCCAGCAATAACGGGTAAGTGCTTTTGATCGATGTTTTTCACAAACATTCTTCCATAGTAGACACGTGAAATAAAATATTACGCAGAAAATGCATCAACGAAAGGAGGATAAAATAACATGATATTATAGAACGAGGTTCAAACATCGTACGTCTGTCGGCTGTCTATCGATGAAATGAGAGAAAATAATTAGAGAGCAAATATCCGCAGAAATGTATGAGTTCCGGTGTTTGTTGAATGAGGATTAAAAAGATGTATATATACAGTTGATCATAATTACGCTTTCCGTAAATGAGATAAAATTCAGTGTACTTTTCAAGCATTTCTAAGTTTACCCGGCAGAAATGCAAACTAAAATGCACATGTTTGCGCGTAAAAAGTAATTGAAAATCAGATGTGTGAGATTGTTATTTCCAGTGGGCGGTTAATAATATCTGTCTGAACATGAGGCCTTTATGAGATTAAAAATAGCTTCTGCGGCGCGGAGAGAGTAGTTTAAAGGTTATCAAATAAAATAAGAATAAAAAGTATAAAGTCGAAAAGATAGTTTATCGTAAAACTTCCGGATCCTTGATATTCAAAGTGATAGAAAATAATGGAAGATATTTTATATCTAAGAATAGTATTCTGAACAATAAGGGTTAAAGTTTCTTTTCATAAAATACGTATCGCATAAATAAAATAACATTTCGAGCAACTCATGGACAAAACAGATAATAGTAATATATACATACGAGAACAATTGGAGTGAGAACAATTCAGAGATTCAGAGAATAGTTTCAAGAAATTGCGTGTCTGACAAATAATATCCATCAAACAAACGTGGGATTATAAAGAAAGAAACTTAACGTCTAGTCTCATCCATCATCCAGTCCGAAAACACAAAACGACGTAGCCGCGAAGAGGTGTCTAACTCCGCCGCATAATCGAACGATAATCGGCTGTTTCTTGAGACAAACGAGCTCTAAAAAAAACCCGTCGCTTACATATGCAGTTCTCTTTTCTTCGGCTCGCTTCTTTCCAGGGTCGGAAGTCGCGTACACGAATTATCGATTTATTATCCGGCAACATTGCTCTTCAACGGGGGCACAGCTCTTTCACGTTTCTCTGGCGGTGCTTCTGCGAGCTTGCTTGAGATTGAAAAATTATCGTTCGTACTCTTGTCATCCCATGAAATTACTTTGCCGAGATTACGACTAAGCTTTCAACTGATTAAGATTCGACTGCTTAAAAACGTTAAATTATTGTTCAAATGTTGGAAACGTTAAATTATCTTTTATTGATATATGTCCAACTTTTATAGCGGATTCTTCGATTAAGAATATACATGTCACATATCAAAGTATTACCAAAAGCGTAAAACAAATTTTATAGATGGTTCGATTATTATGTTTGAAAATTTAAGCACGGATTTTTTCTTGTTTAGAAATTATTCAGATTTTTGTTTATTTTAATTCTTATGTAAAATCACGTTAAATCTCCAGCATGCGGAATGTCAAATAAATATTCTGTAAAAATTCCCTGAAATATCGCTTGAAACGATTACTCATCCTCTTTACTGTGCTAGTCGATTAAAACATCACACGTTTATAATACAAGTGAAATATCGCTACCATTGAAACGATTACTCATCCTCTTTACTGTGCTAGTCGATTAAAACATCACACGTTTATAATACAGACGCGATGCACTCTTCACGACAGATTATGCAAACAGCGAACAGTGAGGATAATCGCCGAACGAGTGAATAAGAAAGTACTCGGTGTATTAAAAGGAATAAATTATTCAGAATATACGCGGGTAAGGTTGAAAGACTTGAAAGTAATTTTTACTTGTCCCTCATCGAAGATAATGGATTTTCAAGATACGTTCGGAATTTTACCCAGGAGCCATTAAGAGAGAAACTGGCACGTGTAATACGTCGTGCTGACAAGTCACGAAATCCATATCATTTGGAAAGAACGCGTGAAATTTCCCAGCAGAGAAACAAACTGTGCAGACGGAAACTCTTGCAACCAATTCGAGATTTTAAAAATATACGAATTTTGACAAATTTAATGATATATATATATGCAAGAGTCGGGCGTTTTTCTACTCTTGTAAAACGATGTATAAACTTTACCGGGGTTTGAAAAAATATTAGATTTTGATAGCATCAATGTAATATTTTAACGCAGTTTCCATTATACGGTCTCTGTTTTTTTAGGTATAAATTACTACATTGTTAGAAAAGTAGCACAACTCAAAATTAATAACTTTTCATTAGAGCAATTCTTAAGTTCTTTCTGAATTGGAACAAAATTCTTAATTAAGATAGTGAATGCATGACTTCACTTTCTTTCCATGTTATACTTTAAATTACAATGTATTACTTAAAATTATATCATTTGTTTTCAAAATTCGGATAATACAATCCTAATATAGAGCTATGTAAATATTCCTTATAGAATAGTAATATTTTTTTATATAAACAATGAGTTGACAAATGTATCGTTTTTCTATAACAAGATATTAGTCTTTGGAAAGAAAGAAAGAGAGAGAATGATTTCCTTTCAAAAATGCTAATTTTTTATTTTTATCACTTTTCTATCAACGCGGTAAAATATAATTTAGTTCCGTACGACGCTATTTTTAAAATATTTATCGTTAGATAAAAATACGTATGTAAAAGTTTCTATTCTCAACGAAAGCTGTGCATAGCACTTAACGAAAGTATTAAAACGACTAGTAAAGTCGGAAATTAAAATCTTACGAGAGTCGACGATCCCTATCCTTCCCAATATGAGTATTTCTCTCCTCGTGTTTCGTTAAGAAACATATAAGAATAGTTTTCAATAATGCAGCCGCAAGTTTGTTTCGAAGCAACAGTAGCGAATTCACCGTGAAATCGACCGACCGCATAATCGCGCTTTAACGTGGCAGAATGCAATTAACCCTTTGTATGCTACTCGTGATATCTCGTGTAGGAACATCAACCGCCTCTTTACGTTCTGAATCGACCTCTCATTAGCAAAACTTATTGTTAGATCGCACATATTTCATCTTTACCTCATTTCATTATTTATTTATATTTTTATTTTATGATGGAATATAAAAATATTTAAATATGTTAAACAAATTAATATTGCCTGCATATACATGATTAAAATTTATCCTATATTACAGAAGCGATTTGGAAAATATTTATTTTGAGATATTTACTTTTACTGCGAATGAAGTTAAGATCTTTATATTAAAATCTATATTCTAAAAAATATGAGTGTGGATTTCATACTATGAGTGTTAAATATAATTCTCGTGTTGATATTGATATAAACCAATGTGATGTTTATATAATTTTCACTGTGTTACTGTTGATATAAATACTAACATGATATGGATTTAATACCATGAATATAGATTTAATATTCTGATTTTTAAAAAACAACACAACACAAGGCTCAAATAGACAAAAATAAAATTGATAAATCAAGGAATACAAGTCTAGTTGAATATTTATGAACTGTATTTTGTTTAAAATTTGGCAATAAACATTTAGCTAGGTTCGTAGCTCTTAATTTATCAATTTTATTCTTAAACGATTTAATACTATATTAATATTAAATCATTTAAATCAGAATATTAAATTATTAATACTACAACCACGATATTAAATTTACACATATTGATATTTATATTAACAGCAACACAGTGAGAATTATATACCTGAACATCGGCATGATGTTAAATTCCCACTCATATTTCTTAGAATGTAGAGATTAGTAATTACTATATGATATCATATATATGACTTTATTCAATTTACAAATGTAATAACAAAATATGGAAACATCATGTTGTAATTTGTTATTACTGCTCTTTGATTGTCAGCTAGTATAGAGATCATAATACGGTACAACATAAGAAAAACTCGCGATAAACAACAATAAGTTTCAAAAATATCAACAAAATTCTAGCATTCCTATCTGTATGGGAAATAGCATTATGCAAAATCCGTGAAAGAAAAATAATATCGCTGTTCAGTTCCATCGTAACACGATCTCCCCCGATGATATCACACGCACGAGTTTTTAATTAAGAACGGGAACGAAACAAAAACACATTCATGTCACTGCTTACTGCGTGACTACCATACAGAGACAATAGCAATGAAATGGAAGCTCATTCGTATTCTCGGATCATCAAGAAGGTCCGCCGAAGTTTTCTCAATTAGAACGACGCAAAACAAGTCACTGCTGCGACGAAATTTTCTTTTCTTTAATCTTTGATAACGAAGAACTTTCCGTTAGGCTAGAACGTTTCTATATTTCTCAATTAACAAAACCAATAATCAATCTTTCGAAATCCTCGCTTCCTTCCTTTATGTTTATTCTTCTTAACGAGGGAGTGTATTTTGATCCCCTCCGCGCAATGCGCTATTACGTGATTGTCCTACCAAAGGATTCATTCGACGTTTTCATCGGACGCACTAGCAAATCCACGGGGAACCATGGGAATCATGGTCCTCCCTTGAAGTCTCCCTTTTTAGAAATAACTTTGCAAAATGTTATATATTATTATTATTTCTACAATACTTAATCACAACTTTTATTCCAAAAATATTTGTTAATTTAATAAACTCTTGGATATAAAAACGTATATTCTATTATATTATTCTTTTTTTTTGTTAATAATTTTAATACAACGAATTATAGTAATCAAAGCCTTAAACGGTCTAGCTGGATCTTAAATGCTTCTATGATTCTGTGTGAATTTATATACTGCGTATGTAGTCCTTTTTGAAACGCGCGCCGAAATGATTTTTCGGTCTTGAAACGCTAATTCGACTAAACTATCGCAGTAATGTCACGAGTTAAAATTGACTAGCAATTTAACAATTTTTGATTGAATACGCTTTTTCACATCTTCGAAACGATCTTAATTATGTTGAGTG